GTATAAACAGACACCTACAGATGTCAGTCTTGCTATATATCTTGACATTCAATATATATTTAGGTTGCAGATATTTGTGCATTATATACAAAATAACAAAAAGAAATTGAAAGCGAATATTTTTTAAAGTATTACACAAAAAATAGTGCTTGCCTGCCAAAGATTTTATTTTTCATCTGAAAATATTTATTAAAGTCTTCATTTAAAAACAAATGTCACCAGCTTGTTATTTGTGTACTTCTGGATTACAAAACATGTACAGTATGCTCAATTTTCTAGAGTAAAATATTTTGATTTTTCTATAAAAAAAGGAAAATTCAGTAACATATCATTTTGTTTGTAATGTGAAATTGTTAAAGAAGAAAATATATATGTATTTCTGACTGCCATTTATTCTGACTGGCTACATTTCCTGTTTTTTTTACTTTCTTTTAAATCAATCACCCAGACGAGTTATATTTCCTGCTTTCGCGTTATATATTAATTGCAGTTTTGGTTTGATTTGGTCCGTCCATAAAGTGCAACTTCTTTCACGCTGCGCCTCTTAAAGCGGTATTCAATATTAAACCCGAAAGAAAACTATAACAACACCCATCTTTTAAATTTGAAATCTAAACAACATTTTTAGAACTTAATTTTATAAATTTTACAATATAGCCGTTTGAAAGTTTACTTCTTAGTAGGTCAGTGCCCGTATGTTTGTTTATATTTGCATATCATTCTCGGAGATTACGTGTTATTAAGATATCCTGATTTCAAGAATGTAAATATACACGGGGTACACATCACGATTATAATACGGTTGGTCAATATTTTGAAATCGCCCTTGTAAAGAATCGAAGGGGAATAACATTTTACCGTTGCTACAATATAGGCAATCCCCTGTAAATAGTTTTAATTTTCAAACAACTTTGTTCATAGTTAAGTTTTTGGTATTTTTATCAAGTTACTGATTATAAATACATTTGGAACACCTTGCCATTTATTCATAATCAATGTAACCGATTTTTTGACGGGAAGGGCTGAAATGCAAATCTGTGAGGATGATTTTCAATAAAATGTTCATCATTAAGTAATCATTTGCTGTTAACGTGTTTGGATTTATTACAAAATCCCCGAAAAACGAACATGCCCGGAAATAGTTTGGTTAAAAAAATCGTCAGGGCGTATAAAAACCATAGGATAAATATAATTATACAGAGATAATTGATCGAGATGCTAGTGATATTTCTATGCAAAATGAAAGTAGAGTAAAATACCTTTATAATTTTTTATAGTCATAATTTTTTTTTTCATAAAATTTATTTTTGTCAATACTTATGATGTTTGGATGATGTTTTAAGGGTTTTTGGTTGTAGAGGGGGAACGGGGGTATAGTGAAAGTCATGGCCACGCGACGTTCACCTTTGGTCTAGACCTACATCGAATTGAACATTTATCTCGAACAATTATTTCCAGTCCCGCTATGTCGAACAATCTCAGTAGAGTTTTAAAGACAAATCAGGTTAAAAAGTGAACATGCATTAACAAGGTCCATGCATTACGAGGGTTGGGGGTCGGGGGAGGTGATATGGCATTATTGGCGACAAAAAATATTAGTTAGTGTATAGGTTGTTGTAGGTCAATATCCTAGCCATAGGTTTGAAGAAACAATACCAGAAATAACGAGAGAAAGTGGCTAAAAGTCTAAATAAAGTAATCTGTGGCTAAATCGTAATAAGAGAAGGAGTGGCCGAATGTGTATGTAAAGGAACTAGCTAGGGGATTATAATCTAGCACCGGTGAATCTAGATAGGTAAAGATCTATATAAAATGTTGATGGGATGACGGTAGCTAGGAAAATCTCATTTGACGACTGATTTATGACATCTGTAATCTTGCCATCCGTGTTAAAGGCACCTAATTCAATGTCAGAACAATGCAGAGTTTGTTTTATAACATCTGATAGGGTGCTTAATAACATGTCGATTGATCCCGGGCTACTGATATTACCATGATGTGTATAGATCTGTGGTGACAATTTGTCGGCAATGTCTAAAAATACTGCAATGCTCGAATACGGATTACCATAAAGATCAAGTATGTTGCAATTAAGGATGTAACAACACTTAGGTGAAATTTCATATATTATGTACAGCTGTAAATAATTCTTCTTCTAAGACTATTTCCAAACATCTAAGAATATATGTTAAATATGTACTGAAAATGTTTATACGCATTATAAGTAATCATTAAAATCTTATTGAAAAGAATTGGCTAAGACTTTATCGAAAATAAAATATCTAATTACCTTCCTTTATTTTACATGAAATGTAAATTTGGTAATATCTTTACAAATAATCCTTTTTGGAACTTACAATATTGATAAATCTTCATTTGAGCATCATATTTATGATATTAAACCATAAAAGATTGAGTTATAGATCTTTAATGGTTTCTTAAGCAGAATTTTTATTCCTTAATTCGGGGTTGAACAATTTCTGTAAATACTAAATTCTTTAGAAGTATTACTTGGACAAGCGAAACATTCCCAGAGTGAGTTCTCTTTTTCGATATATAACAAACACAAATGGTCAATTTTTAAATTCATCCGTACTAATATTGTCCCTACCCGATTAGCTCAACAGGATGGGACATGTGTCGCCAGTATTTCCGAAACCTTGGCGTTGCACATGGTGTTTTCGTAAATAATTTACACTGTTGCCTGATGTATAGGTTAAAATCTTCAATCAAGACGAAAAGTTGGTAAATGCAGTAATGAAAATGATGATAATGACGATGGTTTTTATAATGATGATGATGCTGATGAATTTTGGTGATGAGGAAGATGATAGTTGTGGTGTTGGTTTGGATGATGGTGACTAATAATAATATCAATGATAATAATAATAATGATAATGATAATAATAATAATAATATAAAGATGATGATAAAAATAATAACAATAATCTAATAATAATAATAATAATAATAATAATAATAATAATAATAATAATCATTATAATGATATTGCATGTAATAAAAATAGTTAGGAGAACACTGTGGCTATAGTTTGTACATATTATCATATTGAATCCATACACGCGCATAAATCAGATCTCGTACCTTAACTCTAAGCCAGAATTAAATCTCGAAATAAAAATGAAATTACTGAACACGTTAAGGTGTGAATATAGCAACAATAACGGTACACATTTAGATCAGACAGATAATTCATTCATAATTCATATAGTATTTTTTTCTATACTTTCTTTGTTTAAATCTGCTCACTCATATCTGCACACTCCCAGATAAGACAACAATCTTTATAAAGTCAAAATGAAGGAAAATTAAAAATGTACGGAAATGTTTTTAAAAATCCACAATTTAAATGACTATTGTGAAATGTGAATGTTTAATGCTATTGTTTCTTTACAGGAACACCACTGAGGTCCAAAAGCTGAAAAAACATATAATTTTAATTTGAGCCGCGTCATGACAAAACCAACGTAATGCGTTTGCGACCAGCATGGATCCAGACCAGCCTGCGCATCCGCGCAGTCTGATCAGGATCCATGCTGTTCGCTATCAGTTTCTCTACTTGTAATAGGGTTTGTAAGCGAACAGCATGGATCCTGATCAGTCTGCGCGTATGCGCAGGCTGGCCTGGATCCATGCTGGTCGCAAACGCATTACGTTGGTTTTGTCGTGACACGGCTCATTTCTTACACAGATCTTCTGGAACACTTAAAACAGAAAGACATGCAAAAGATAATTAAGAAATATACTCTGAAATAAATTGAAAGTCATACTTTGTGCTATTCTTAACTCGATTTGAGTGAACGGGGTTAAATTTTTTAGTCATTTATTCACAATTAGAATAATCATTCTGGACAATTGGGGTATGCGAATTATATGAAATTTCGCACACGAGTAATTGGTCTAGATCTCTAGATCTTCATCAAATGGAACATTAACCTCGAAAATTGACGTCATGCAAAAAACAAAAAAAAAAACAAAAACAAAAAGAAACGCATTGGAGTCCCTTTAAGCGAAGTATCGTTGAATTGACGTTTAAATATAATATCATTAATCCCACGACTAACGGATTAATGGATATTCCTACATATTTTGATACATACTAATCTAATGTATGTGGTTCGTGCGGATAATTAAGGAATTAGTCTGTCTAGTTTTAATCTCATTATTTGTAAGCTTGTCAAAAGTTTTCCTTAACAATTAACAATGGTTCGTAACACATTGCCATGTCGTAAAACTATGGAGGCGTGCTGCTTTAAAAACGCATTTTTGACATCCTTGGACAATTCCTAGATTCATTTAATGTCACGCATGTTGTTTTAGATGGTCGAAAATAATGCCTGTCTCATCCGAAAAAAAAAATTCTGTTTAAGTATGTCCTGGTTTATTCCAAGACAAATTTTCTTTCATGCTTGAGTGGTTAAGGACGCTCACTTCAGGTTCTTTATAGTCTCTAATGCAAAGAAGGAAGCAATACCGCTTTCTTACGGAAGGTCGGTCGTTCTATACAGGTGCCCGCTTGTGCCTCAAATAACGAGCGGAGGTCTTCCTACACCACAACAGCTTGAATGTTGCAATATGTCTTAAATATGTTTTTTACAACAAAGTATCGCTTCGACTTAAAACACAACCAAATGATTAACCCCCCCCCCCCACACACACACACAAACCGGATTCTTTTTGTAGCTTATAAAGTCACTTATTGCATATATTAATTTACTGAACCTATTACTATATGCTATTTTTAATCGTTTTAAAGTGAAATAAAATCTCCCATTAAATTACAAGCTAAACACCTTCATTTATAGGTGTATACCTAATATATTAAAACGCTTTAACAACCGGACAATGTTTATTTTAATAGTGATCAATGAAAGGGGATTTTTGAACTTTACATTTAGTCATTTTATTTCATATATTAGTGAGGTATTTAAACCTAATATGTTTATCTAAACTTTTTCATTTACAAGTCTCAAGAATAGGGTAAAAGTTATTTTGGTCATATTTAAATTTACAATTCACTATTATGTAAAGAGAAAGGATTGATCTGTGAACCTATATACAAGCCACTTCATTTGGCAAGTACATTCAATAGAGGGATAAAGTATAAAAGTAAAATTTGTATAAACTATAATTATCATGACTAAAAATGCAAATTTCAAGTTTTTCAGGTGGTTTAACTAAAAAAAAAACAACAACATTTGTTTATGAAAGATAAGTGTATAAAATTTATATATGATATTAAGCAATTATAAAGTCTTATTTATTTTTTGTAAACGTTTTCCTGGATTCCGTTCACCGGAATATACACATGCGTGTTTAAAATGGCGTTTCCTTTTTTTCTTTTCAGGCTGATGACATTTACAGAGTTGAAAGAAAATTTTGGATATACAGTGTATTGTGTATGAGCGCAGTTTTTGTTTAATAAATTTTAGTGGATAATTTAACGACATTGTGTCAATTTCATTACAAAGATAATGCGCCTTTATTGAACAAGTAAGATAAATGGAATAAACGAACATCGTGTAGGTATTGTTGAAATTTTATTAATTTTAAAGATAAACGTTTGAACTTACTCGAAAATGCCTGGACACACAAACTCGTCGGATCCACACGCACATGGGCGACCAGTGCGTCCAAAAAGCGGAAGTACTCGAAAAGGAACGACCACAACAACAACAACAAGTGTCTTGTCTAAACCGCGAACGAACACAAACACGAGCGGAAGCGGAAATGAAGTTCGCAGGTTAGGCAGAGGGTCCGCCAAAAAAGACTCAAAACAAATGAAAACCGCCAGTAAGGAGCAAAAAGAAAATAATTATGATCAAAATGATAATAACAGAATAGAAAATGGTGAAATGGAGAAAAAGGTCAATGAACATGAAACCAAAGATGAAACTAATGGGGACACTGAAAACGGTAATAAGACCGATGACGTAAGTGAGATGGAAGAAAACACAAAAACGCGGTTTACCAGACCGGAAACACCGCCAAAAGTCGAGACCCCGCCACCTGCTCCACCGGAACAACCGGAAGTGTTTACGTTGGAAAAATTTAATAAGACTATGGATTTATATTCAGAAAAATTTTCCACGTCAAAATTCATGCACGTTACCGACGATTACCCAACAGGCGAACTAAATGCCTTGATTTCCGAGGTGAATATTAAGATTGACGAATACAAGCGAGAGACGTTGTCATCCCAGAAGCACTTGAATGACTTAAGACAGCGGATGCATGAAGTTAAAGAACGAATCTCTCACAACATCCAGCAAAAATCTAACGCAATACGAATGGGTAAGTTACTCGCACATTTCATATTTGTAGACCATACGTTACATTTTGCATATTTTATTGGCATTTGGGGATTCTTTTTATCGACATTTTTCCCATATTGACCCAGAACAGAGCTAGATTTCTCTAAAAGTGTACTGTGTAATTTTTAAGCGGCTGATTATTCTATGTAAAGTCCATCGTTTTTTTTTAAATATTGGGAAGATCTCAGGACAGAGGTTCTTTCAGGTCCGCACATAACTTCATTATCGTTTGATGACGAAACGTTGAGTTTATTGAACGTACATACATGATAAATAAATAAACTAAATCATTGTTATATTTAAACAGCTTTTAAAGTTACGTGTTGTTTTCAAGACAGCTTTATTGCTGCCATAAAATGCACGAATGCCATTTTAAGAACTGACGCAAAGCACTCTTGAGCGGCATAAATACACAAAAGCAGGTGTTTGAAGCGTAAAGATTTAAGACTTGCACTTGTGCTTATCTTATTCAATGCTCAATATACTTCTCGTCTGCAAGAATAGATGCGTCTTAAATATTTATCCACGTGTTATCCATCGTTCATGGATACGAGAGAGCCGCGTAGGAATTTTAATGTTCTCCTATAGAAAATAGTTCATCAATGTTGTATAGACGCACAGATACAAATTGAACTGTTTATCCATGTAAGTAAAGGGATTGAAAATAAACCAATTTAAAAATAAGCATACTAATAGGTGTTTATCTATTTGAAGAAAACGAAACAACACGGCATGCACTAGCCATTGAAAATACAATGTATAGTGTGCAATTTTTAATGCAATATAAATTGCCCTTTACAAATAGCACTGCTCCTCCTAAAGGGAACGGAAATAATCCTATTTAAAATGGATAATATGTAAAAAAAGAAGGTTTTGTTTTACAGATTTGGTACTTGCTATTGAAACAAAGGGATTATATTCATTTGCATATTTATACACGTAAATTAAACTTTCCGTTACCAAAATAATTTTTCCGTTCCTGAAAGAAAATTAATGTTCAAGTGAACGGTTATAAACCAAATTAAAATCATGGCAATGTTAATAATAAAAAATCGAGTTTCCTTTATCTTATCTTATCTTATCTTATCTTATTATCTTATCTTATTCCATTCATTCATTCATTCATTCATTCGCGAATGAATGAATGAATGAATCAATCATTCATTCGTTCATTCATTCATTCATTTTTATATATAAAATTTTATTTTTTGTTATAAAAAACAGTATAAACTGAAACTCGTTTTGATGTTTGAAATGTAACAAACTCTTCAAACTATTAATATAATTAAGAAGTTTGAAATTTAGTTAAAAGTCTTTACGGAACAATGAAAAAATATTACGCACTGTCAAGGCTGCAGCATTTGAAATTTTGTTAAAATATGTAAAGGGCTATTATGATAAAATATTAAAGAGAATATCCCGGTTCTTGGAATTCGTATCACAGTATCATTGTATATATAGGTCAACGCTGAAATGTATTAAAATGTCATTTCTAAAAAAAAATGTATATGTCCCATTGAAAAAGCGGATGGCTCGTTTAAGCCCTAAGGATTTGAAGACGCAGTCTGTCAAATTTCAATAACAATTTTGTTGCATTTTACTCGAAATTCGTCCTTATAAAGATGAAAAAAATAAACACTACATATTAGGAGCAGGAGCGTGGCGCCATTTTGAAACGCAACGATGATCAATGCAAATATGTTGGAAGTTTAAGCAAGTATTAAAATTCCTATTAAAATGTATCAGTTTAGAATGCATTCGATTACTTACAAGTCTTTGATAGCTTAAATCGGTCGATTAATTTAAATTCTGATAACGTGCTCATTTGCATAATATTATCATAGACCGATTAACGTCAGTTTAAAAGTGCGCGACGTAAATATTTACTGAAGTACATACGCAATGAATTTTTCAAAGAATTTTTCCGCGTCGGTCTTTATGACTTTTTATAGGTTTCGTATTTTATTTGACATAATTATGTACAGTACATACATGTATTTACACCGGTATTAAGGTAACAATGGTGAATATTATACTTAATAATAACTTTTTGTATAAAGATTTCTATAAGTTCAAAAACTTTTTGTCACTTGTCAAAGGCGGGTCTGACTGGGCCTTTAAATGAAAAATCAGCGATATATTAAAATATATTTCCACTAAACTCCGTGATTGTATATGCAATTTGTGTTATCAATCTTAAAAGTTTTTGACATGTTATATATGGCCAATAAAACCTGGTTACATGTACATGTATATGATTATTATATTAAAAGGCTTCCATTAAGTTTCAAAATTTGGAAGCCAGAGACTGCAAGATCTCTGATACTGGAAGATGTCACACTAAGTAGGTAAAGAAAGAAAAGTATTCGATTTGGAAGTCACAAGCTGAAATCAAGGAGAATATGACTCCCGAATGACGAAACAATAAAAACAAACAGATAAATAAATATATAAAGACGAAGGAGAAGAAGAAGAAGAAGAAGAAGAAGAAGAAGAAGAAGAAGAAGAAGAAGAAAAAAACAAGATTTTTAAAATTTAAAATATTAATATGATTGCTAGAGATATATTGACAAACACCGCGATCGTCATGATCATTATACATATAGCCTCAGGTATCTCCCGTTAAAGTCCGTTCCACACCGGAAATGCTCTTATTATATTAACAGTACACTATAGAGCTTTGCAAGCATTGAATACATATTGTTAATGACAGTTAACATTGTTAATATAAAAGGTAAATATGTCAAACGGTCTGTCAATACCCTAACTATACTGTAGTATTGTCAGTCCGAAATACTATACCATACTGTAAACGTTCTGGATTCTTTCCAAATATTTACTTTTACTCTACAAATTAATTATAGAGTTATTAAGGTTTGTTTTTACTATCTACAAGGGAGGATCACTTCCCCGCAGTTCTATAAGGCTTACATTTGGTCGCGGCTTGTTAATTGAACCAAAGTCGTGATTTTGGTTCATATTTGTGTCCATCTTTTGATGTGCATCACGCATGTTTTAAAAGTCATGTCTAAACCCCGTGTCTCGTGTCTTTTGAACAGGTGGTCACGGGTACGATCCCCGGCTGGACCAAGTTTTTCTGAAACCTTTTTACTTACATTTCTTATTTCGCATAATGTTCAGCATCATTTCGCAAATATACTGTATATTGAAGGTTATATCCAAATACATTGTTGTACCTGCATTTGTTACAAACTTTTATTGAAATTAGCCTAATGAAATCTGCAGAAAGCGTCACCAAGGTAATGTCAAAATTTAATCTGAATTGATAGGTTTACAAACCTTTGAATAAATTACAATATCTAAATGAGAAAACTCAGTTCAAAATCGCTCGTTTGTAGAAGTAGTCTATCAAGAAATATCAGTAAAGATAGCTTTTGGTCCATGGATCATGTACTCAGCAGTGCAGTGCTGGTTTAATTCCCATTAGGTTTCATGGTTGTCTTGACGAACTAGTTACATAAATTGTCTCCAACGACATCATTTCTCCCACTTGATTGATGTGAAGAAGTTGACAATTAGTTGCGAAGAAACAATCACGTTTGAGCTCGTATACATCTTAAAGTTTAACTATTTAACTAAGTATTTCGTATATGTATTTCTGAACTATCATGATAACTGTTTCGAATCAATCCATCAATCAATCAATCAATCGATCGATCGATCGATCGATCGATCGATCGATCGATAAATAAATAAATCAATCAATCAACAAATCAATCAAACATTCACTCAGTCACATGCAAATGAAAAAACAAACAAACACACAAACATATGCACAACATTTGAAAAACTGGATTATAGACATAAACAAACTAGGGAATGCACGTAGGGAAATAAATAGTTTACCTGATATAGATTAACCACCATCAAAACATAAAAAGAGGCTTTATTAATCGAAGATTAAACAAACAGAAAACCCTCAACAAAAACATATAAACAAAAATGTTTACAGTTAACATGCTATCGCCAAAATAACAGGCACGGAGGTCTCAATTTTAGACAAGTTTTTGGCAACCGTATTACATAACATAACCGATAAAATCTTTACATTCTTTTGGCAAATTGGATCCGATATCATTACGAAAAATCTTTACGTGTGATTTTGGTGAAGAATAAAAAAATGATCCCCTTTGATGCCTTTCATCGAAGGTCAATGTCAATCTGTCATCACTAAATGTCATCAACTTGCAAGGAATGTCAAATAGGGGAGTATATTACCTACTCGTGTAAGGTTATTATACTTTGTACTGTTTTGTACTGTTTTATTACACTTAAATAGTAAACAAGTATTGTTTTTAACCGCTAAAAGGGATCCGTTTAGAGTGGATCAGTAATAAATATCTTTACAAACTCCTCTCTGATTTGTAGCAAATGCTTGACATTTGATTGCATACGACAAAAGCACACGCACGTATGCGCGCGCGCACGCAATAGACGCACCTATTGAAAATGCTATAAAGATGGCGTAACGCGTATGAAAAAGATTCGATACGAGATAATTTGATAGCGTTAATCTTGCAACTTAAATTTCAAATGCATGTAACTGTTATTAAAATAAATAACCCAGCTAGAACTTGTATGTTGTATTACAAAACATGAATGACAAAATATACAATAGTCATGTTTTTTTTGTATTTTTGTGGAAGTGGTTTTAATACAATATCAATTATCAAGTCAGATTGATGTAAAAACATTAAAAGTTTTTATTTATCGTTTACAGGGGAGGTTCAAGTCGGGGAATAGGGTTTGACCCCCGAGTGTCTGTGCTTTCGGTCAGAGATTTTACGGTTAGACAAAGTGTTTGATTGATTTCTGTTTTAATGAAACTTCGTATCCGTCGAGTGACCTTAGTGTTTTAGTTTATTCTAACGCTATTTTCTAATTTTGTTAAAAGTTTATGCCAATTTTTTTTATAATTGGCCGACCAAGTGTAACACACTTTCGATAACAGTACGTTGA